GAAAGAGTATGGCCAAATTAAAGTTGTTTACAGTGTTAAACTTTAAATGTTTCTGTAAAATGTTGACCTTGAGTCGGGCTTAATAGTTAGATGGGAAGACTTATTTTTTAAAACTGTTTTTTTAATACTATGAACCTCTATCCATAGAGTAAATTAAAGAATTAATACAGTAAGGCAAAAAAGCTAAAGTCCTCCCTCATTTCCAATGATCTCCCCCCTTGAGAGGCGAGCACTATTAACAGTTTCTTATTTTCTATAAAATTTCTAGATATAAACATGCAAACATATATCTTTTGTTGCTGTTCATTTTTAAATATAAATAAGATTAATACTATAATACTGTTCTGCAGTTGGTTCTTTTCATTTAAAGGGTGCATCCGTCATCTTTATTAATATATGTAGAACTAGAGTGGAGAGCTTTTGAAATAACCTGTTTGCCATCTTATAGATATGCTTGCAGTTTAGGGTTCATTGTTTTATCCATTACATAATTCATTTTCCATGTTTTTGTTTATTCTGATTGCCATTATGGATAGTACTACTGTTATTTTGTCTGTGTGTATATTATTTTGGAATGGCTAAGAAAATTTTATATGAATTAATTAATTCCTTTCAAGTTGTTTGAATTTTAAAATGTCCTTTTGTTTTTAAGAAGTTCAACCACTAATTTTCTAAATAAATAACTTGACTATAAATATTATAATAAGAATCATGTATTCATTCAACAAATATTGCATGAGTACACTGTGAACCAAGAAGTCTTCTAAGCAGCCGAGATACAGTGATGATTAGACAAGGTTCATGCTCTTCTGGAGTATACATTATAGAAATCCATAGATAGGAAACTGTTACTAACTGAATGTACTTTAAAATCCAAAAGGTAAATTTTAAACTTTTTCTTACTGAGAAAAGGATGATAATGCTTCAGTGCTCTAATCATGTCAGTTTGCAGGGAAATTATTATATGATGTCAGAAAATGATTTTCCATAGACTTTTTTCTCTTAGAGCCGTTGTTTCTTTTAAATAGTTGTAAATTTTCAGAGTTAATTATTAACACTGTACATAATGTCTTGAATCCTTAATTGATTAAGAAACTAGTGTTTTGTTTTGTTTTTTCCCCGGTTCTGAAATGGGGAGGAGAGGACTTTGGGTGTCATCCACTTTAACTTTCTTGTTTCTGAGAAAGAAACCGGAACAAAAATCAAAAGATAGGAATCAAAGCAAAGCACTTCTTTCCCCTCTTTCATCACCCACTTTTTAAAGGCCTTTTTCTAGACTGTCCTTACTTCTCATATATATTAAGCTTCATTTCATACTAAAATCATCTATGACCTTAATTTGCACCTAATATCAGAAGAGAACTCCAATAGTTTGAGTCAGAGGTGTAAACTCTAGCCTTCAATGTCATTTCATCTAGTTCTTGAAAGAGTTTCATAACATGCCATGCAGAACATGTTTTTTTGCAGTTTATCAAATTATTCATTAAGCAAACACTTTCAGGGTGCATACTTGATATTTTATTATCATTTTAAACCAATTCTATAAATTGACAGAATGAAACATTTTTTTTCTTAATTGGCTCCTGCAGTATTTGATAACCCTAAAGGAAGATCTACTACATGTAATTGGGTCAAATTATTAGTGTATCATCCAAGTCAAGTTTCAGGTTGTTTGGGTGAGAAGATACTCCCCCTGTTAACACGTTACCTATAAAAACCTTTAAATGAATATACAAAATATTTAGTCTAGAACTTTTGTTAACTTTTCTCTTTCTTATAGATTCCACACCAAATCATCCATCACAAACAACACCAGCCCAAAAGAAAACTCCCAGTTCTTCATCTCGACAGAAAGATAAAGTTAATAAAAGAAATGAACGTGGCGAAACTCCTTTACACATGGCAGCTATTCGAGGAGATGTAAAACAGGTCAAAGAATTAATAAGTTTAGGGGCAAATGTGAATGTGAAAGATTTTGCAGGTAAGACTTGTAGTTAAAGACTAATACTCAGGAACTAAAATTCTGAGTTTATCATCTAAACAGATGCTGGTTACAATTTAATCTATATTCTTCATTCCTCTTTCTGAAATGAAAGAGTTCTAAAAGTATACTTTAATATAAAACTATTTTGGAGTGTATACCTAAAACCCTGATCTCTGCTACAAGTCATTGTCAGTAATTACTCAAATACTTAAATATTAAACGTGCATTTTATTTGGCATATTACCGTATAATTTTTTATCCAATTTACGTTCTAGGTGAATCACAGTTAAATAATGTTTAGACCATTTATTAGCTTGAGCACAAGGACTGTAAGAGAGTGGCAGTGTTGTTTCACACAGTAAAAGTATTGGGGAACAATGTAGAAATTCCCTTTAGTTTCACACACTACAGTACCCTACCCTCCCATCCCCCAGGTTCTTTCTTTTTCACAGAACTGTGGTTAACAATTTGGAGGCTGTCCTTTCTGTGCACTTGCAGGATCATATATACAATGAACATTTAGTTATATAGAGACTTTTTAAAAAAAAATCAAATCACTCTGTGTCAGCCTATAGTTCTGCAATCTCTCCTTTTTACTAGTGTCGTGCAGATATTTCTGTCGGTACCTGTAGGTGGTTCTACTTCATCCATTTCAACAGCCACATAGTAGTGTACAGAATAGATTCTGTGGACAGTACTTGAGCAACCCTCTTGTAGAAATATATTTGTGTATAGTTTCGGAAGGACGATATTTCAGTAGAAAGGAAACTGCTAAATCAGAGGAGACGCATATTTAAACTTCTTTGAAAATCAGGCAAATGACCCTCCAAAAACTCTTTTATCAATTTACACTCCCATCAAGAGTATATGAAAGAGCCTTGGGTGGGGGGAAGAGATAAATTAGGAGTTTGGGATTAACATATACACATTACTATATATAAAATAGGTAAACAACAAGGACCTACTGTATAGCACAGGAAACTATATTCAATATCTTGCAATATTGAAAGACCCTAACAAGCTTATTTTGCCTTTTTCTACTCTCTTTCCATAGTTGAGATGATTGTTCTGAATTATAGCAAGTTATTGGATAAGCTTAAATGTTTAGTACTTTTGTCAAATAATTTAGTCCCAATGGAAATAATATGATTGTGGATGAACCTTCTGTAAAATTGGTGGTTTTCTTAGGTACTTATTTCCAGTAACTTGTCCATCACTCCTTTTTCCTTCTGTACTGTGTGCACGTAGAATCAGTGTGTCACACATGGTTATGTATCTAAAAAGCATATGTGTTGCATTAGTAGAAGTGAACCATATGTTCAATTAATATTGTAACTTTAGGTTGGACACCACTGCATGAAGCTTGCAATGTTGGATATTATGATGTTGCTAAGATACTTATAGCAGCTGGAGCAGATGTTAACACACAAGGACTAGATGACGACACTCCACTCCATGATTCTGCTAGTAGTGGGCACAGAGATGTGAGTATGATGGAAGGAGCAGTAATATACGTCTTCAAAATATAAATTTAATCCAGTCATTTAATTCACTTCTTAGTCATACGATCTTGTGTCACATTTCACTCCTTGCATGATCAGCTCATCTATATTATATTTTCCCTTTTTTCTACCTTCTAATTGCTAATTCCTATCATAGATTTAGCATTTTCTTTTCATAAAACCTATTTAACTTGGTAATTAAACAATTTGCCATTCTACTGTCAGATAATTAGATGCAGCGGTTAAAGCAGATTGTACTTAAAATAAAATTTTACATTGTCATGATGCCTTTTTTTAAGACTTATTAATGATTCCTCTATATATAACATCTGCTGCTGAATTTTAGCTGACATTATTATTCAGATGCTTATGTATATAATAAGACATGATTTAAACAAACATGATTATATATGCTTGCAAATTTAATGGCATGTTTAATTTGTTTTGATGTAATATTATGAACCATGCTGGGTTTTAAATTCCATTTTCATTTTCAATCTCTGGCATGCTGACATCAAAGCCTGACCAGTCTTTGTTGTAATGTAGCTTATGTTTTAAGTGTGCTTAATGCTTAGCTCCATTACTGTAACCTGCTTACAGCCAGAGCAGATCAACCTGGGGCACTATGAGCAATGGTTCTAAAGTAGGATTTTGTTTATCACATAAGTAGTTTTTCTCTTTCACTTAATTTTAACTTCTATCAAAGAATACTTGTACATAGTTTAGAAAGTTGAAAAGTACTACTTAGCTTATAAAGATAACTACCTGCTCCCTCTCATCCCTCCGCACTTCCCAGTACCTTTAGCCAAAAGCAGCTCTTGTAGGTGTTTCTTCTAGTAGTTATCTCTTTATTTCTAACAAGATGGAAGCTATTTTGCTTTTTTAATTTTTAGTCACTAGTTATTGACCCCCTGCAAAGGGTTTTAATATATATTGCTGCTCAGAGATGCACAAATTTAATATAATTGTATTTTCTCTTGGATTTTTGTTTATGACCTTGGTTACTACACTGCCTTGTTCTGATTTTTCTTATTTAGTTTTCCATGTATCTATTTCTGTACTTCCTTACTCTCTCTGACATAACTCTAAAATGCCCCTGAATAAGATCAAACACATTGATCAGTTTATTATGTTTGAGAATATCCTTGTATACAAGATATCTTGTATCCTCTTTAATTGGGACTAGCTTCTCTCTAGATCTGTAGCATAGATGCTGTCTAGGGATTTGTTTTTGCCATTAATTTCATGTGAGATTCTCAGTCTCTTCATGAGATTTCCAGTCTCTGGCAGGAGTGGTTGTGAACCACATTACATTAACTTCTCACAGCAATATTTGTGTGTTTTCACTATGAGATAAGAAGTGTTGTAAATGCTTTCTTTATACGTATTAATTTTTTAAAATATTTATTTATTTATGTTGGCTGTGCTGGGTCTTAGTTGCGGCACGCGGGATCCTTGTTGCAGCACGGGAGATCTTCGTTGTGGCATGTGGACTTCTTAGTTGTGACATGCAGACTCTTAGTTGCAGCATGCGGGCTTCTTAGTTGCGGCATGTGGGCTTCTTAGTTGTGGCATGAGAACTCATATTAGTTGGGGCATGCATGCAGGATCTAGTTCCCCCACCAGGCCCCCTACACTAGGAGCACAGAGTCTTACCCACTGGACCACCAGGGAAGTCCCAGTATTATTTTAATCATCACAGTAAATGAATAACCTTCTGGTGTTTCTTGTTGAAACTGTATGACCCATTGCATTCCAGTACCCTCAGCTTCTCCCAGAACATGGAGAAACAAAGACACAGGAGACACAAAGACAAAGACAAAGACACACTGGTCTAAGACACTCCCAAGTTTATTAAACTGATATGAGTTCAAATTAAGGGACTAAAAAGGATAAATATCAGTGTTTTTTTAAGACAAAGTGAGGTAATAATTCATTAATCTGGAAGAGTTGTTATTCAGTACACTGTCTCTCCTCTCTAGTGAATAACGTAAAAGGATTTTGGTCATCTCATACCTTTGTGCTGGAAAATTCCCTTTTTTTTCTCTTGTTAGCAGCAAACATTCTCTGCCTTATTTTCTTTTTTGACACAAAAATTTCAGTGTCATGGTGCCTGTTTTTTAAAAGCCACTTTAGTTGAGAAAAAAATGGAATTTGGAGTGAAGATAGATACGAATTCAGTTCTGGCCTGGCCCGTTTCCCAAATGAGTGATCTCAAACAAGTTGTTTTTTTCCTCTCAACTTCCATTTTCTCATCTTTAAATCACATAATAAATTATACCTGTCTAAAAGGGATATTTTGAAGGAAAAAACGACGCTGCGCACATAAACATACCTTGAAATCTAAAATGTTATAGAAATGTCAGAGGTCAAAGATTAAAAGGCAACTTTTATATTGCTATTTTTCAAATATACTCAGATATTTTGGAAATTAAAGATGCCATTTTTCTCATTTAAATCTTTCTATAAGGTATTTTTCATAATTCTCAAGTTATAATTTTGAAGAAAAATGTAGCCTGTAATGTTATTTTTCCTAAACTGATCCTTGCTTACCATCGTTCCAGTCTTTTTTGCTCCCTTGACAATTCGTACATACCTATGTGATAGCACTTACTATATTATTTTTTACTCATGTGCATGTCTGTTTTCTTCATTGAATTTTGAGTCCCATGCATACATGATTTATGTTCTGGCTGTGCTATTTTAAATACTGTACTTACTGCCCTTTTTTTAAAAGCATTATTGATAGTTTATCAAGCATGAATAGTTTTTCTTTAAATGTTGCATAAAAAGATTTCCTGATTTCTAAATGTAATGTTAAAGAACTGTGCCTTATGAGTAAGACATGTTTCTATGAATACAAGTTTCTAAATATGCACATTGCTGCAAAGTATTTCCAGAAGCTGACCTTTGAGCTCGTGTACTTACAAAGACTCAAACACTATTTCCAGTCTCCTTCCAGAAGGAGACTGACATGCTATTTTCAAGAGATCTTTGCTTTTCCTCCTACCAACATGCCTAGGATAGTAGGAGTCACAATTCAGAGCTGTTGAGGGTTATTTTCCTCTTGCTCTTTTACTTGTCCCCAAGGAGGAGGAGGGAAATGAGATATACCAAAACCCATTGGTATATATTTGTACCATATGTTATGAGTCTCCTCCAAAGAATTAGATTTCTTTCACTCAGTAACACTCATGACAACTTCAGCCATCCATAAAACATTCCTAAGGTAGGAGAAACAGTTCTGTTCTAAATTGTTTCGAGTAAGAGAGGATTAGCATAGCTTACTAAGAACGTAATCTTTGGCCTACCTTTCACAAATGTGTATTACTTCATAATATACATTCTTATAATAGCCCTATTCTTAGTTCTATTTTAGATACTGCTTATGTTTATTTTTTTCTTGTCTCATCATTTTTACTTACTTCTAATTTGCTGTCTATGTTTTTTGAGTTTTTTTTTTTAATTAATTAATTTATTTATTTTGACTGTGCCGGGTCTTAGTTGCGGCACGCAGGATCTTCATTGCGGCATGTTTAGTTGTGGCATGTGGGATCTTCAGTTGTGGCATGAGGACTTAGTTGAGGCATACGAACTCGTAGTTGGGGCATGCATGTGGGGTCTAGTTCCCCGACCAGGGATTGAACCCAGACCCCCTGCACTGGGAGCACGGAGTCAGTCTTACCCACTGGACCACCAGGGAAGTCCTGCTGCCTGCTTGTTTTAAGCAGCTTTAAGTTACTTTAAATTCTTTTAGAATAAATAATTTTTTGCATATGAGAATGATCTGTAAAGTATTGGTTATTTAGGTTAGAGTTATTGTAGCATGTTTGAATGAACCAACTGTCTAATCATAGTTAGGAATAAATTTTTTTTAATATTTATTTATTTTTGGCTGCATCGGGTCTTAGTTGCAGCACACGGGATCTTTCATTGTGGCGCGTGGGCTTCTCTCTAGTTGTGGAATGCGGGCTCAGTAGTTGCGGCACACGGGCTCTCTAGTTGTGGCGTGTGGGCTCCAGAGCATATGGGCTCTGTTGCAGCATGCAGGCTTAGTTGCCGTGTGGCATATGGGATCTTAGTTCCCCGACCAGGGATTGAACCCTCGTCCCCTGCATTGGAAGGCGGATTCTTAACCTTCTTAACTGGACCACCAGGGAAGTCCCAGGAATAAATATTTTTTTGATTATTTCCTGACAGGTATAGAAAGCGTTCAGTAGTATCAAGATCCTTCTGTTTTCTCATTCTAAGACTCTAACCGAAGGAAATAAGCCTAAAAATGGGGGGAAGAATTTCAACTTATAAAGATGTTCACTATAGCATTATTTATAATAACTAAAAGTTTTTAACTTCAGTTACCTTCTCAAACCCCTAAAAGGGGAGATTTTAAAGGACACAGTCCCACAAGGATAAAGAACAGAAGAAACAAGAAAAAGAATATTTTGGGAGATAGAAATTTGAGGAATGAGTGGTGACTACATAGAACAGGGTTTGGCAAACTTTCTGTAGTGGGCCATATAGTAAATATTGTGGGCTTTGCAACCACATGCCACCTCCACTGACCCTCCTCCCTTCTCCCTCTCTCCCTGCTTCCTGTATCCTCCTATGTATTTCTCCTTTATCAATTCTTTTTAAAGTATTTTATAAGAATATAAAAACTATTCTTAGTCAGCAGGCCAGATCTGGCCTACAGACCAAATTTACCAGCTCCTGATTTTAAAAATCCAAGAAAATTGAAACCAAAGCCATTTCAACACAGAATCCCAGAAAAACTGAAGCTCAGCAATTGATGGCTGGGTTCATCTGGAGGTGCCCATTGAATAAGACTGAAAATAAGAGGATTGAATCAAACTGGTTTTTTACCCTCATATTCCCTTCCTAACCCTTCACAACTAGATGACGGCACATTTCCCTGGCAGATGATTGGAGGTTTATTTCCTGACAAGTATAAACCATACTGTCTGGACTGACATACCACAAGAATAGTTGGGAGTAAGGATTAAATGTAAGCTAATTAAGTAAAACATACTGAACATTAAGACCTCAGTCAACCAGAATGCTGACAGTAAGACTTATGGTTCTAGGGCAGGAGTTGAAAGATTTCTCAATAGAAAAGTGAACTAACCAAGAGGGCGTTCTGATGAAATGGCCTAGTCATATCACACTAGCACAAGGTCCATCTGTCAATAGATCCTACCTATGCCTAAAAAACTTTCAGCAAGTCTTTTAGTGCCTTACTCTTTTTTTTTTTTTAATTTATTTTTTGGCTGCGTTGGGTCTTCATTGCTGCGCATGGGCTTTCTCTAGTTGCGGCGAGTGGGGACTACTCTTCATTGCGGTGAGTGGGCTTCTCATTGCGATGGCTTCTTTGTTGTGGAGCATGGGCTCTAGGCGCACGGGCTCAGTACTTGTGGCTCACGTGCTCTAGAGCGCAGGCTCAGTACTTGTGGCACACAGGCCGCGGCATGTGGGATCTTCCCGGACCAGGGCTCGAACCCGTGTCCCCTGCATTGGCAGGCAAACTCCGAACCACTGTGCCACCAGGGAAGTCCCTAGTACCTTACTCTTAAATATGGACAGCCAGTGATCACCTGACCCTTGAGAAACGTCTCTAATATGGAAGGCAGAGAGCAGAACAAGGAAATAGAAAAGTAGAAACATGGAGGACATGATAAGGCCAAGAGAAACTTCAAAAAAAAAAAAAAAGAAACATATTACCTTCCCCAAAGAGATGAGAGTTTCTTGCAGCCATGAAACAAAAACTGAAGGATTGCTAAATAAGGAACAGTTAACAAATTTAAAAATAAAAACAAAAAAAGCTCTTGGAAATTAATAATATGGTAGCAGAAATGAAAAATGGAGTATGGAGGGTTAAAGATAAAGTTGAGGAAATCTCCCAGAGACTAGGAAACAAAAGACAAAGGTGGAGGAGGGGAAATGAGAAAAAAGAAGATTAATTCAGGAGATCCAGTATTATCTTAACAAGAGTTCTTAGAAGACAAAACAGTGAAAACATAGGACATTATCAAATAAATAAATCCAGGAATTTTCTCAGAACTGAAGGAACATGGATCTTCAGATTGAAAGAGCAGTTGAATGCTCATCAGCACAATGGATGTTAAAAGACCAAGATCAAAATTCATTATCCTGGGATTTCAGAACAATAGAGGCAAAGAATGTCCTCAAGCTTACAGAGAGAAAAAGCAAGTTCCATATAAAGGCAAAAAATCAGGATGGCATCAGACTTCAATAACAACACTAGAATCTAGAAGATAATGATGATGCCTTCAACACTGGAGGGAAAATTATTCTATATCAAGAATAAATACTAATCAAGTGAGGATAGAATAAAGGTATTTTCTGACATGGAAAAATCTCAGAATATTTACTGTTTCTTAGGAATCTCCTGGGGGTGGTGTTTCAACAAAATGAGAGAGTGAACCAAAAAAGAAGATAAAAGGTCTAAAGAATCCACCGAATTGAGGGAAGGCTATTTCTAGGATGATAGGATAAACAGAGATGTCAAGATGACAACTGGGAAGCAAATCTAGACAGCAACCAGTCCATTTTAGAGCAAGTTAGAAGGCTTGGAGAAAGGAGTTTAGCAAAAAAAAATGGTGGTATGTTGAATTGAAGAGATCTGTACTTGTAGCAGAATGGGGGATGAATTAAAGATGAGTATGTAGAAAACCGAGTAAGTGAAAAGTCAAGATAATTACACATTAACTTGTGTAATTTAAGAATGGAAATTTTGTCATGGTGTACTACTTGGTTCAACATTTACATTAATCATAATGACACACAAAAAATAATATGTCTATCTTGGAAAGTTAGGAGGAGGGGGAAGTGGATGTGTATGGGAGAGGGATAGAGTTGGTAAAAGAGAGCTGAATTGTGTTTTCCATTGTAAGACAATAGGCAGTGCCTAAAACCGAAAAGTACAGAAGCAGCACTCTATGTTACTTAAGTATATGGACATAAATATCAGGGACGATTGTTCTTCACCAGCAGCCTTGAAAAGCCGTTTGATCTTTTAAAATCATAAACATGTAATTTGATAAAAATTAGTAAACAAAAAGGGAAATTAAATATTAGCAGTTGAGATCATGCGTAATTTGTTTTCTTTATACATTCTTACATTTCAAGTATTCTGTGTTGATGGTTTCTTTGTCTAGAAAAGATTTTTCATTATTTAATTCACTGTGAATCTTTATTATTCTTAAATACTTTGATTTGTTAGAAGTCCCTAATTTATAGCATCCTGTTTAATATTGCTTCTTTAAAAAGACATGATACATTTCCTCAGTACCAGAAAACACCATAGTTATGTGTTAGGAATACAGAGGCGAATAAAGATCTCACATGAAGTTTATGGTCTAGGACAAGGGGAGAAATGTGTTAATAAATTATAGTATAGATTTACCTATGATAGAACACACTCGTGTCACTGGAAGTAGAAGCTCAAAACAAGAAGAGATGTTAGGGAAGCAGAATTAATAATACTTGGCCACCTATTTGACGTAGAGTATGAGTGAAAAACGAGAATGTGATGACTCCCCACTTTCTGGTTTCAGTGACTGGGTATACTTTGGTGCCAGTCACTGAGAATGGAAACACATGAAAGATAAGGGTGCACGTTTAATGAACTCTGGGACCTATTGGTTTCAGCTTTTGTATTGAAATACAGTATATCCAAAGAATATTTGGGTATTTGATTTTGAAGGTCAAGAAGAAGGCTGAGAAAGAGCAAGCACGAGAATGAAAATGAATGAGTGGATTGCATAATCGTCACCGCATTCAGAGTGGGTGAGCTCTCCAGGGAGATGATGTAGACCAGAGCGTGAATCAAGTGAATCAAGGACAGAGCCCTAGGGAAACGATGTATGGCTCAGATATTTACAGATCTTAGGAGACTCATTTCATTGGACTGCCGGTAACATAATTGTAGTTAGAAGAGCGAAGGGCCAATAAGAAAAAAGTAGTCAAGGCCCCAAGGGTAAACATCTTTTCAGGAACTTGACTGTAAAGGAAAGAAGAGAGATTTAGCTACAGGAGGAGATTATAGGTTTGAGCAGTTGCTATTTTTTTTTTTTTTTTTTTTTTTTGGGGTCCGGGGCCCCTCCCCCCCTTTAGCCTCTCCCGCCACCGAGCACAGGCTCCGGACGCGCAGGCCCAGCGGCCATGGCTCACGGGCCCAGCTGCTCTGCAGCATGTGGGATCTTCCCGGATTGGGGCACG